TAAATTATTAAATAAATCCCGTACTAAATAAACGTTATGTATTAAACTATATGCTCTTCATTGAATACTAGGACAAATATAGAATACTTTTTCTTATATTTGTGTAACAAGAAAAAAAAACCCTTAGGAATTTTTGATGAAGTTGTCACTCAGTCAGACTGTGATGAATAGAATAGATGAAAATTAACCAGATGATAAAAAATATTTAAAAAAAAAAGAACGAATGTTGTTGACATACATCAATAAAATTTTTATATTGTCACTCAAAAAAGATAAATGGGACATTTTCAAAAATGAAATATATTAATTAAATTCATATGATTCTATGAAAATCTTGTAAATAGCTTCGATCTATATTCAAACAATCAATAATAAATAAACTAGAAAAACCTATAGGGACAATTCTTCTAGTATCATCAATCGTTCTTTTAATTTATCATGAACTCTATATATTCTTTTTCTTCATCTAATAACTTTTGTTCGATTATGGAAATTGAAACGATCGATCGTTTAATACGCATAATAAACGTCTTTTTTAATTACTATTTTAATCATTATTCATTGTTGTTAAATCTAACGTATATATGATTTATTTATTTACTTGAATTGTTTTTATTTTTTTATTTTTAGTCCAAATAATATTCATGATGAAAGAAATGAATATAATAATCATCATTATTCATTAAGTAGTAAAAATCCAATATTATCAAGAAATTTAAATGAAAATAATCGTTTATTAAATAATGAAAATGAAAATGAACATTCGAATATTTTATTATCATCATCAAAAGTAAAATGGATTGATGCTGTCCGAACAGTAACACAATTAAATCAAGTAAGAAATAAATGTTAATTAGAAATATGTGCATTCAGGGAGAAAATATTTTTCTTACAACAAACATCTATGACACACTAGATTTTTATTTCTCTACTAACATATTATCATATAAGATTTCAAATGTCACTTATTTCTTCTAGAATTTCTTCTAAATATTACACCTTAATTAGAAATTCTTTTAAATAATTATTTACTTAACATATAAAATTTTTATTTAAATTATTCTTTTCTAACATAATATATTCTACCGGTACATATCAATTAAATATTCATTTCCTAGAATAAATACAAAAAAAAAGGAGGATATATCTTTCTATCGTCAATTTAACATTGAATGTAAATAAAAATAAAATAGAAATATATATATATATGTCTCCTTCTATATGTTATTGCGTTGTCAATCATATCGAGTTATTTCATCTTGTTATAAAACATCAATCTAAGGTACAATTGTTTCTTTTTGTGTAACAGCTGCCACTTGTATTTTCTATAAGAGAACGAAACATTTCTTCTCTCTCTCTCTCTCGTTTTCTTTTTTTGTCATTCATTTGCTAAACACTCGAAAGACTTCTGTTACAAAATATATATATATTTATATGAAATTAATGAATTCCAGTCGAGATTCATCATTAAATTCTATCATAAAACTTTCTCGTCAATATTCAACAGCTACAACAACATCAGATGTTGGGGAAAGTTTATATGATGGAGATTTAGAATGGGATAAATCAGATTTTACTCGTCATTTACCTGAATCTGATGCATTATCATCATATGATATTCATGAAATGGCTGAAATTTTACGTAATCATTTTCTTGAATTTGATATGTTATCACAAATTGGTGAACATTCAATTCTTTCTCGTCAATCAACATTTAGTGATGCATTTCCTACAGCATCTAATGAAGAATATATTAAAAATAATTTACCAATTGATCTTGATTTATCAAAGAAAAAACCTCGTTTATATTATCGAAGTGTATCTGATTTAACTTCATTGAAACGAGAAGAAAAAGAATTATTTATTTTATCAAAACATTTATCATTGATGGATATTAAAACAATTAAATGGAGATTTTTTAAATCGAAAATAACACGTGATCTTATTTTAAGAAGAGCAAATTATTTTAAATCATCCTATTTAATACCACAATCAATGGATGTTGATTTTGAACCCGAATTATTAAATACAATAACAAATATGAATTTTTCACATTTATCAAAATTTGCAAAATTTCGTTTATCGATAATGAAATTTCAAGATAAATTTTCATCATTTATTTCTCGAAAATTTCAATCAACAGAAACATTTCATATAACAGACGATATTATTAATACTTATGATATTATTGAACGATAAAATTTACGAATAAACAAAACAGATATTTTAATCTACTGTCAAAAATCGACTACGTTTCATATTAATAAATATTCAATTAAGTCACGAAGATTGCATGTTAACTATGTACAGATGATTAGTTAAATATAATAGTTATTTCAAAAGATTTTCACCTTGAAAAGATTCTATTAATCTTTTTTTTGTAAATAAGAACATTTTTTTCTAATAACTCAAAAATCATGATTTTTATTCATATATTATTTCAAATTTTTTATCATAATCATTTTAAAATACCTATTTAATCATAATATGAATATGTGGACTAAGCATGTCTGTTTAAGCTCAAAATTGTTGAATAATCCTTCTTCTCCTTCTTCTTTTTTTCTTCTTCCGTCTTTTGTCTTTCTACTTAAGCAAGTTATTATTTTCTAAGAAATATGAAAAAAACCTCTTGTCAACTATCTTCTAGTTGGTTGAATATTATCATCATAATCAATCGTTTAGAAATAGAGAGAGATAAATATAAAAATAGACATTTTTGGGTGTTTTCTCTTATTCTCTCTTGTGATGTTTGACGTCACTGATGGTTTCAATTAATAAGAAGAAGCTTAAGAGAGACTTCACTTTTCTGTGTTTTTTTTCAATTCCCTTGATTATTCTTCAAGATTATGATTATACGTTGTCTTGTTTTTTTATTGACAAGATGAACACTGTTCAAACCTCAAGAAAAAAAGAAAGAAAGAAAAAAAATTCTTTTTATAAAATAAAAAAAAAGTTCTCAGATAATTTGTGTCTATTGTTATGTTCTTTAAGAGATTCTATTTTAAAATTAGTTATAGTTGATTAAATTTGAAAGAAAATGGTGTACATTATTTTTCTTTTTCTTTTACAAGATTATGACATAAATAAAATATAAGGCAAATTTATTATAAGGTGAGTTTTTCTTAAAAAAGAATTCAAATATATATATATATGTGTAACATAACGATGATGAGATTTCCTAATGAAAATATATCCAACATAAAAGGAATCATCGATTAGTATAAGTTTTGTATATCTATATGGTTTGACACCTTTCATTCTCTGACTATCAGTCGTTATCTGTCGACATTGACGGTTATTCCTACTGTTGCGTTGCTCATTTAATAGGCTAAGTGTGTTTTTATCTGGTTTGTCGATTTTTCTCTTTTCTCGTAATTTTCTTTGCTATATTTTCTTGTATTAGTAGTCCGAATAAGTTATTGCGTGACATTACCGTTGCCCAACAAGAAGAATGAAAGAAAAGAAGAAAAAGAATAACACAAGTTCTATTCTGATATATTTCTTCCTTTTCTTTTCTTGTCTTTTCTTTGTGTTTCCTTCTATATGTTTTGGTAATGAGACAAAGAAACGATGGTACTGTCTTTTGAATGATACTATAACCGAATATCCATCAATAATAAAACGTAGATGTAAAAATGCATTTTATCTACGGTGTACCGGTTTGTCCACCAATATGTCCTCCATTATCAAATGATGAATTTGTTTCATCATCAGAAGAAAATCTTAATGAACGATCAAATTTTTTAATTAATCAAAAATTAAATACATATGCAAAACAATTTGGTCGTCATTTTATTTTTTCTTCCTCTCGTCCAAAAGAGAATATTTATAATGAAAAAGATATTGATGAAGAATTCGATCAAATATCTTTGTCAGACAATTGTTATGTGAGTTTAGGTTAAACAGAATCTTTGTTTTTTTCGTATTACTTAAATAATAATATTTGAAATTTTGTAATATAATAAAATAAAATAAAATCGATTCATATTTTTTTTTATTTTTATAGAATACTCAAGGAAAATCAGAAAACTCACCTAATGAACCTTCAAATTCAAAACAAAATTCGCCATTAATTGATACAGATGGATTATCGATTACAGCCAGGAATCTATCAGGCATAAATAATATTACAAATAATCAAAATAATACAATAACTGATGATGGAATGGTGAAGACGACAAACGGAGGAATAAATAATGGAAAGTATGTTGGATATATTTAGTAACTTCTTTTTGTTTCATCAAATATCATAACTAGTAAATGATTAATCACAATAGTAACACTCGAAAATTAATCACTTAGCTCCATGCATCGATAGTGACCTATTTCTTATTTTATTTATAGAAATGATTCATTTTCTTCAGGACATTTTCGTTTTAATTAATTAAACATTTTTCTTATTTAAGTAATTGAGTAAAAGTAAATTTGAAAATTAGTGTTTAGTTTGAATTCTTTTGATTTATTAACAATTTAGATATGGAACTATTATTAGCAAATATCACCATCACCTTTTGTTAGTTCATTACATAGAAAAATCTTTTATAATATTACAGTGGCTTATAAGAACATTTTGTTCTGTTTCTTATCAATAAAATCTGTTCTAAGTAGTAGTCAGCATTATTTTCTAATTATGAGTTTTTCTTTTTATTGATTTCTTTCAATGATAAGATTTTATTGAATGAGAATTATTTGAAAACTTAAACTATGATTATTATTATGAACATAAAGGAATGTCAATAGTTGTTCGATGTATATGATGATTTACCGTATGAAATCATTTGTTTATAATATGTCTGGTATGTTTAATGGAATCTTTAGAGAAGAAATTGATTAACTAATTTTTCTTGTTAGTTGTTCTGTCTTCCGTATGATAAGATTGTCATTTTAATAGGATTTACTCAGTCAGATATAAAGTCTATCAAACAAAACAAAAAATGTCATTCTTTTTTTTGCTTCTATTCAGAAAAAAAGACAATATAAGCATGTCTTATCTATATATTTTTGAATAACTTTAATTGTATATATTTACTTTATACAATAAATAACTAATTTAAGTATTTGATGAGGTTTTGTAAAGAAGAAGGAAAAAAAACGTCTTTCTTTTTTTATCAGTTTAACCGTTGGTAATCTTTTAATGGAATTTTGTTTTTCATATGAGATTTTATATCGTAAAAATGTATGTTAATATTCAAGAATAAAACAAAATTTCAATATTTTTTTTTGTTATCATTATGTCTCAATTGATATTAGATAACAATAGATTCTCTCTTCTATACTTTATGACATTTCCTGTTCTGTTTGTTTACGTCTGAACATCTCTAAATGTTCTTTTTAATTCTCATGAGTATTGTTCTCTATGAAGAAAGAATATATTTCGAAGATCACGCATTCACACATTCAATATTTAATTGATGGATATATTAAGCATTCGAGATATGTTTTTTAATACTAAACTTTAATTCATTATCGATAGTATATCAGAAAATATTAGAATTTCTAATTGAATATAATAGATTAATGAGTAAATGAAGTATTATCCTCAAAAAAAAACAAAAAATGAAAGAAGCTAAATTAATTTTCTTCTTTTCTATTAGTAAGGGCAAAAAATGTAATTTTATTTTTACAGCGTTAACAAAATTCTTAACATCTTTTTTTAATATGCATTAGTAAGTGTTGTCTACTTAAAGATATTTTTAAACAAAATTAATTTTAAACATACAATTGTTCAGACTGTCAATTGAAGTTCTTTATGACAATAGTTAACAAAAAAAACATGATAAAAGAATCTAATTTGTTAAATAATTTTTTCTAAGGAAATATATTGTTTTTTTTATTTAATCGAAGATCAAATAAGAAAAATAGGAAATTAGATTCGTTTATTTTGTAGGAAATAGATTGATTTTTAAAAGAAGAAAAAAAACGTATTATTTACCGAACAATTTCTAGTTCTCTTCTCTTCTCGATCGATCGATCAATAATTATTATTTACTAAACAAAAAAAAAACGAAGAAGAAAGTAATATAGAATAGACTGATTTATTGTTACATATTTGACATACTTTTTATTGGTATTATTAATCTATAATAAGTAATAAACATAGTAAATATAGTTATTATTATACATGAGAATATTTATAACAATTATTTCAAAATATTTATTTTATTTTAGTAATACATCCGGTGAACAACAAGTAAATAATGCATTTTATAATTGTATTGATAGTGCACCGGATATACCTGAACGAGGAAAAACAACTCCGTTGGGTCTCGACATGGTATTTAATAAATTAAAAATAAAAGAACAAAAACAAAATTTCTTTTTTTTTTAAAAATTTTCCTATAGGGTATATCAGTTGGTAAACGATCAGCGGGTGTACCAAGTACAATTGGTCGACATAATTTAAATGACGAAGAACTTGTAAATAATTATAATTAAATATTTATATTTTAATAAATAATAATCTTTTTAGCGTACACATGTATATAAAAAAACTTTACAAGCATTAATTTACCCCATATCATTAACAACTCCACATGATTTTGAATTTTGTTCATTTGCACATCCAACATATTGTTATGAATGTGAAGGTCTTCTATGGGGTATTGCAAGACAAGGTTTAAAATGTCGAGAATGTGGTGTTAAATGTCATGAAAAATGTAAAGATCTACTTAATGCTGATTGTCTTCAACGTAAGTAATGAGTTTTTTATTTATTTATTTATTTATTTAATATTATTAAATATGATTTCTTTTTTTTTTCGTTTTGTTATTTATTCTTCACATATATTTTTGTCTGTTTTATACACATTGAGATGCATGTCATTGTTGTTTCAGTCTTATTAGTTCATGTATTCATTCCGAATGATAATTTGGAGAAGATTTATTCCATAAACGTCGAGAAACAACGTATGAAATAATATTGAGAAATTGACCTTGTGTTCATATTTATGCTCTCATCTAATTAAATTATTTCATTTTGTTTTTTAAATTTAAATAATGCTTTAAATATTGCACGTTATTTATTACATAGACTTGTTTATCATTATTTGCCTATATATTGAAAATTAACTTAGCGTAAATGAATGTCTTGCTTGACTTTCATAGTTTTTTGCTTCTTTCTCTTTTTTGCAATTTTTAATTTCCTCAACTATAATCATGATGTTGATGATGGCGTGCTTAGTTATAAAGTTTTTGTTATAT